CGCACACACAGGCACACACACCCTGGCGCACACACACACCCTGGAGCACACACACACAGGCACAGGCCCTAACTCATCTCCCTGGGGCCAGGCTCCCCACCCGCAGACCACAGGCTACTGGGAGAATCCCTCTGAGGAGCCCCCGTCTGGATGTGACCACGCTGGAGCGCCCTCCCGCATTTGTAACGGGCCCGCCGGCTGTTCTGGGGGCTAGCCTACACCTCCTAGCCATGCTCATGTCTGCAAAGGGGACTCCAGATGAGGACAGCTGGCTTGCCACCGAGTTGGCAGACGGGACTTCAGGGCATACACTTAGGCAGGGAAGCGGCAGGGCAGAGTGGTGCTTGCTGAGATGAAGTTTCAGAAAAGGCGACCCTATCTCTCCCAGTCCAAGCCCCCGGTTTCCAGGATCTTACATTCCTCTGTCAAGCTCAGGTTCTGCAAAGATTTGTTGAGGCTCCTAGCTGTGGCGACAGCGCGGATATTTCCATAGGAGCTCACAGAACGGAGTCGGGGGGTGCACGGGCTGTCTCGCACGGGGGTCAAACTCCCACCCTCTGGGAAAGAAGGGGAAAGACAAGTTACAACGGGCTTCCGGGTGGAGGCCAGCACGTCTTGGGGCACTCAGCAGTTGAGACGCAGTGGCGGCAGCTGCTACCTGCACAGGGATGAATGTCATCATGGGAGCTGTGCAGCTCAGGGAGACTCAGACATGAGCGGCGGCTCTGGGGGACAGCACTGGAGAAATGACAACCGCATGTCGCTCTGTGGATATGAAATCACCAAAGACAGGACAGGCTGGTGGCATCAGCCTGTCCAAGAGCGCACGAGATGCGTGGTGATGAGGGCTGTGAGCCACTCCCCAGGAAGCCGCAGTAGAGCAACGGCCGGCCACACTCAGTCCGGCTCACCCTCCGCCCTCTCTGTGTCCTGCCTGCAGGGATGCTGCCCCGTGATGACAAGCACCTGCACTGCAGAGGGGCTGTGTGGTGGAAGGAGGGGCTGCTGGCAGTGATGAGACACTCTCCAGTCCAGACCATACGTGAGAAGGGAGCTCCTGATGTGCCTCACCGAGCCATGAGGCCACCAGCGTGCGATGACATTACTCATCACAGGGGGGCGGCCACAGCACTTTTCTGCAAGCGCCTAACTGCAGAAGTTTTGTCATACTTCAAGATTTCTGTGAGTTTAGTTTCCAAAAATGGTAAAAAGGAAGGAAAAATGTAAGAGGACCAGTGTGGTCCTCTTTCCTGCCCTTTTAAGTCTGGCAGGCGCCTAAAAAGATGAGAAAACCAGGGACCACTGCGGCAGGTATGTCAGAAACCCGCGCTTAGACTCTGCAAGAGCGAGCGGGCTGCCAGCCGTTCTCAGCCTGGGCTGTGGGCTGCACAGAAACCACCACGCGAGCCACGCGGCGGTCCCCGGGAGAAGACGCCGTACCCGCAGTACCCGCTGTACCCGCCGTACCTGCCGTACCCGCCGTACCTGTGGTTGCTGGAGAAGGCAAAGGGTAGTTCTTTTCCTCTTCTATGAACTGCAGGGCCACGGTGCAGAAGTTGCTTTCGTACTGAACCACAAGATGACTCAGAGCCACCACCAGCTCCTGCAGAGAGGGAGAAGGGACAGTGACACTCACTGGGGCTGGAAAATGACTGTGGAGCAGCAGTGACTTGAGTCACCAACAGAAAAAGGAAAGGTTAAGACAAAACCCTGCAGTCGGCATCAGAAACAGGAACCAGTCAAAGCAGAGGCCTCGAATAAGCAGAGTGCCGTCGAGATGGCAGGCCACCAGCTCACGGCGGACGCTGGGGGTGCCCAGAACACCGGCCAGGACCCTCACCACCGTTAGACGTGCATGACGCACTGGGGGTCTCACGAGGATTCGGTGGGTCACAGAACTCCGGAGAGGGAAGGGAGGAGGCCTCGGAGGAGCCGTCCAGACTCTTGCTTCTGGTCACCACTGTGACCCCTGCTGAAAACGCCGCTCTAGCTTGAGATCACCCCGGACAGCTGGCGGCCCTTCTGAATCTGGACACCCCAGCCGAGCGTGGCTGACAAGCCGAAGCCTGTGCTTTTCAACACACGCAAAACTTTCACGGGTACACGTTTCTAGTCCACGAGAGGGAACAGGAAAGCTGTAGAAGCAAAACCTGAACTAATCAAGTTTAGGTCCAAATGCCTTGGTCCAGGGCTACAGGCACAATCTGCCCCCCTTCAGGAAAGTTTAGTGCTGCGACGTGAACCGCTAGAGATCCTAGAAGTCGCTGGGGAACGTGAGGGTGATGTAGGTTTAAAAAATGGAAGGAATGCTTTCTTCCCTACAACAACTTTCTCTGCCTTTTTTTTTTTTTTTTTAAGAGTAAAGATGGATTCTTAGCACAAAGCCAAGCGCTGTGAGAGGCCCCCTTGCTGGTTGCGTGATGCCCCCGCCTCTGCAGCAGCTGGACGAGCCAGGCTCTGGACGGGCGCTCTCCAGGGACCAGGGTCTTCTCGGCAGCCGCCCCCGATCTCCACCCGCACGCTCTCCAGCCACGCATTCTCCTGTCCCAGCCTACATGCCCTGGGCTTCTTCCTATCATGCTTTGGGGTTCCCCTGATGCGGGCCCTCTCTCTCCTGGCTCCAGGCTGGCTGTCCAGCTGCCGGCTCTTCCCCTGCACCCCAAACTCTCCCTGCCCTGTGAACTGCGGGCACCGTCTACTTTCCATTCAGCCCGCAGCGCCGTCTTCATGTGTGCTCACGGAACTGCAAGTCTCTCAGTGCTCAGGTGGGAGCCCTGGCATCACCCAACCCTCCCACCCACTGGGCACCAAGGTTACGGCGCAATATGCATCTTCACGGCCATGGCCAACACCCAGTTCTAGTACTCATCTCCAATGGCCTAAGTCGCTGTTCAAGGCTCCCGGAGCAAGCCACAGACCCCCTGCTGTCTTCCCTGTCCAAGGGGAGAGTGAGGCGCTGCAGAGATGGGGCCTCCAACGGAGCGAGTGCCCACTGGACCCCTCCCAGGGAGGATCAAGGCTGCATCTGTCTTCAAAAACCATGGATTTTTTTTCCCTTTCCTTCTGGTATCAGGTGAGAAAAGCCAGTGCTGGGCCATGGAATGGATTAACATGCCCCGAGGTGGTGGGTCTTCAATTCAGGCGAGGCCAACAGGGGCCACGACCATTATTCCAGGGAAATGTCTGGAGAGCACTCGACCCGCCGCATACGGGGCCTCGCTCGGAGGCTGCTGCCTGGCACACAGCAAAGAGCTCTCCCTTGCATGTGACCCTTCCTGCCCTTCCTGAATGGAGCTGGGCTCGGACAGCAGGACACACACACCGGCCTTCTTTGGGATATTCATGCAGAACTCATCAGAGGGTCTGGGTCTGGCAGAGGTGCTCAGCCACGGTGTGGGAGTCCCCTCTCTCTCAGCTTTTGCAAGAAGATTTTGGCTGGTGTTGTCATGTGACCCTCTTTCCCTTGGGGTTCCCCAGTGGCATACAGATGGGGGGGCCACATTAGTGGCCAGGGGCTGGCCAGGTTTCACAGGTCCTCTGACAGACCGCGTGTCAAAGCCATTGTCTGTCCTCCTGCTCCGTGGCTGCAGCTGAGCAGTTTGCAGGACTCACACTCACCTGTCAGCTCAGCCCTTCCGCTAGGCTCCCAGTCTTCAGAGTCATTGTGTGCTCCTAGAACCTGCTCCTTCACGGCTGGCCCCTTGGGTGAGGGACAAGTCCTCTCTTCTGTCGCTCAGGGATCCCCTGTCCTCCTCTTTTTCTCGTACCCCTCTACCTGTGAGCAAGTGCTGTGAGCTCTGCGTTCAAAGCCTAGGCTACTCCTACACCGGCCCTGCAGTTGGGCAAGTGGCCCCTCTCACCTGGGCAGCCAAAGGTGAGGTCCCATCCCAAACCCCCTCCAGGCCTCTGATCACAAACAACAAGGCTTGTACTGGCTGGGCCACCTGCCCCACCACCCTCGTGGCCTCTTGTGCCCAGGCCGTCTGATGGGCATGGCCCCTGCACCTGCCGGCCCCTCCCTGTGGCAAGGCCTCCCCGTGCTCCCAGCCCCATCCACAGTGGCTCCGCTCAGCTGCCACCTCGGCCCACCACCCTCACATCCACCCCTCCCCCGGCTCCAGGGACACCTTCTTGGGAGAAAAGCCAGGGTGAGTGCCCTGCGGGGTCACTGAGGCGCATGGCACGTGCCTGACGAGTGTGTTCTGGCTGAGTGCAGCCCTACCCCCTTCAGGGGCATCGTCTGCAGCATGAAGGTCAGTTTCTAACCATGAATGTCACCAGGACTCAGGGTGGTGACCCAGCTGGACTCACCATGGACCACCCACCCACCTCGCCTCCTCACCTTGCCCACCTGCTCTGAGGCCACGCACTCCACGTTTCCAACATAGCACTGGCTAGTATGTGTTTTGTCACCGGTGCTCAGGCATCGTAAAACTCAGCTCCTGTGACCACGGCAGGCCCGAGCAGTGTCCCGGAAGCATCTTGGGAGGCTAAGGCCTGGGATTACAGAGTGGATCACTTGAGCCCAGGAGTTTGAGACCAGCCTGGGCAATACAGTGAGAACCCATCTCTACAAAAAATACACAAATTAGCCCAGCATGGTGGCACGTGCCTGTGGTCCCAGCTACTCAGGAGGCTGAGGTGGGAGGATTGCTTGAGCCCTGAGGGCAGAGGTTGCAGTGAGCCGAGACTGTGCTACTGTACTTCCAACCTGGGTAACGGAGACTGTTTCAAAATAAAATAAAACAAATAAAATGCAAAATAAAAAAATAGTATCCGAAGAGTCCCTATTTCCTCCTGAGGCCACGACAGAGGGAGTGGGCCCCGGTCCAGGCCCCGCCGGGCCCGTCCTCACGTGCGGCTCCTGCCCAGACCGGCCTCAGCAGAGGCGGGGGTGATACTGGGGCTAAAGCCCTGCACCCCTACCCGGGCCCTTCTTGATGAGGGAGGGGAGCTGCTGACTGCAGGCTGTGTGCTTCACAGACAAGTTGAAGCTCAAAATAATTTGGGGAGCTGATCTGGATTTGCTGACTTTTATTTGGGGAGCTGATCTGGATTTGCTGACTTTTAAATTCTGTCAAGTAAGCTCACTAAACAAGTCAACAAACAAAACCTGCCAGGCTGTATCACCCCACACCGGAGAGGACACTTTCACTGTGAAAAAGCAGGATCGTGTAACCTTTCTGACACCCGGCACACCTCGCTTTACGGAAATGCAGCAACAGCACCTTCCTCTCTCCTGCCCTGGAGGCTGCTGGGAGCTGCTCAGCCAGGCCTGCTCCCCAACCCCAGCCCCACAGCGGGCTCAGGACGGGCCCTGAGGAGAGGCTGCTCCATGCCCACCAGGCTCCCTGGTGCTTGCACCCATGCCCATGTCCCCTGCAGAGCACTGTGCCCGCCCGTGGTGCTTGGTGAACAGGACAGAAAACCAGCTGTGACGTGGCAGACTCTGTGACGAGGACAGAGGCGCACCCTTGGAGTCAGCACCCCACGTCAGCATGCCTCCCAAGTCAGCACGCTCCTGGAGTCAGCAACCCCCCACTCAGAGTCAGCGTACCCCTGGAGTCAGCACCCCCAGAGACGGCGCACCCCTGGAGTCGGCACCCCCACTCAGAGACGGCACACCCCTGTAGTCAGCACCCCCACTCAGAGTTGGCACCCCCACTCAGAGATGGCACGCCCCTGGAGTCGGCACCCCCCCACTCAGAGACGGTGTACCCCTGGAGTCGGCACACCTCTGGAGTTGGCACCCCCACTGAGAGTCGGCGCACCCCCACTGAGAGTCGGCGCACCCCCGGAGTCAGCAGCCCCACTCAGTCAGCACGCCCCTGGAGTCGGCACCCCCACTGAGAGTCGGCACCCCCACTTAGAGTCGGCGCACCCCCACTCAGAGTCGGCGCACCCCCGGAGTCTGAGCACCAGTGCAGCCTGCTCGGGGAGGCCTCCTGGCCACACGTGAGTGACGATGTCTTTCTCTGACTCCTCACTAGCCTTCCTCCCTCCAGACATCACCCTGACAGCTTACATTACCAACTGCTGTTGGCTGCTTCTCTGGCTAGAATGCAAACCCCCTGTAGGCGGGAAGCATCTTAAGTACCTGACCCGGTTCCCAGTGTGGGACAGACACCAGGGAATCTTGCTGCAAGATTGAATCCTGTTAGATTTGGAAGAATAGAGTACTTGCTGAAGGCACGTTCTCAACAGCTGGAGCCTGGCACTCACAGCTCCTGCCTTCAGCCTCACCCCAGTGCCCCTATGGCCACAAGCAAGGAGAGTCGCCCCAAGCTCCTCCATCTTCCCCACACCTGAGCCTCCGGCCACTCGGAAGGAGGGCGACCCCGAGCCCCTCCATCTTCCC